ATTTCATTGTCTGAAACACTTGAGAAAGACTTGGCTTAGAAATAACACAAAGAATAGCAAAAACTACCATTTTGCTGAACATTTTACTGGCATTCCCTCATTAAAAACCTATAACAAACAACAAATCCCACTATGTTGTATAATTATAATGCACTATTAAAAAACAACTAATAGGTTTTGAAAACCCATAATAATCTCACTAGGTAGGTATAAATTTTCTCAGGCTTAAAATGCTAAGAGATGATGGAACTTGCCAAAGTAGGCGCTTGGTGGGGCATCTTGATTTCAACACAGGTCTCTTAACCTTGGAAAATTTGCTTTAGGCTTTATAACTTTGTTGTCTCAACGCCTCTGATTCTTTACATTGTTATCCTACTACTCTTACCTAATTTTCAAGAAAGATAAAAGCAGACAAAGCCTGGAGCTTTTAGAAAGCTGGAATAAATATCTGCAGAACCAAGATTTTAATTAGGTATTGCTTTTTGGAACTTGTCTACTTCTATTCAACTCAAAAGGCTCAAGATCAATATGCTTGGCTAGGTGGTCACAGGGGAGGAAAACAGTCTACCAGAAATATGGGTTTGAGAAATCACCACAGACCAGGATAAGAATACATTTCCATTGAAGGAAGCTGAACCAGGATGAATGAAAATGGACAAAACCTGAGTGGAAAGGAAGCTGGTAAAGAGGACAAAATTAAAGGAGAACTGAGAAAAGGGAGGTACTTGGAGTAAAGGCAGTTGTGAGTTACTCTGCAGTATTTTTTCCTCCCACATTTTACCTCTATCTACTCTTTTCCTCAATGAGCTCAGTCATTATAAGGACTTCAATACTCTCTTCTATTCAGAAAATGCCAAATCTCTCTAGTCCTGACTTTTCTCTAGAGTTAACTCCTGAGAGCTGGCCATATCCATCTATACTTCCAATAAGCACTTTATTTATTTATTTTTGAGGTGCTGGGGATCAAACCAATGGCTTTGCATGTGCTAGGTAGGTGCTCTACTACTGAGCTACATCCCCAGTCCTATTTTTAAATTATTCTCTTATTTTGAGAAAGGGTCTAGCTAAATTGCTAGGCAGGCCTGTAACTTGCAATTGTCCTGCCTGTCTTCTGAGTCACTGGTATTACAGGCATGCACTACCAGGCCAGCCTCCTATCAGCACTTTAAATCCAGTGGATCCTCTTCCCTGAGCCTGCTCATCAAACACCTATGTGGTCAGGCACAGTGGCACAAGCCTGTAATCCTGCGACTTGGCAGGCTGAAACAGTTCTAAAACCAGCCTCAGCAACTTAGTGAGACCCTGTCTCAAAATAAAAAATAAAAGTGGCTGCTATTTACAATAGCCTCATAAAGAAAAAATACAATACTTGGGGGTGCTGGGGATGTGTCTCAAGTGGTAGCACGCTTGCTTAGCATGCGTGAGGCACTGGGATCGATTCTCAGCACCACATAAAAATAAGATATATTGTGTCCACCTATAACTAGAAAATAAATATTAAAAAAAATACAATACTTGGGAATCAATTTAACAAAAGAGGTGAAAGACCTCTGTAATGAAAACTATATAACACTAAAGAAAGAAATTGAAGATGACCTTAGAAGATGGAAAGATCTCCCATGCTCCTGGATAGGCAGAATCAATATTGTTGGAGTAGCCATACTACCCAAAGTGCTATACATATTCAATGTGTTTACAATTAAAATCTCAATGTCATTCTTTACAGAAAAGCAATCATGAAATTCATTTGGAAAAATAAGAAAACCCCAAATAGTCAAAGCAATCTTTAGCAAGAAGAGTGAAACAGGAGGCATCACAATACCAGACCTTAAACTATACTACAAAACAACAGTAATAAAAATGGCATGGTATTGGCACCAAAACAGACATGTAGACTGATGGTACAGAATGGAAGATACAGAGACAAACCCACATAAATACAGTAATCTCATACTAGACAAAGGCGCCCAAAACATACATTGGACAAAAGACAGCCTCAACAAATGGTGCTGGGAAAACTGGAAATCCATATGCAGCAAAATGAAACTAAACCCCCATCTCTTACCATGCACAAAACTCAAAGTGAATCAAGGACACAGGAATTAGATCACAGACCCTACACCTAACAGAAGAAAAATCTTTATCATTTTGGATTAGGCCACAACTTCCGTAACAAGACTCCTAAAGCACAAGAAATAAAATCAATAGTCAATAAGTGGGATGGATTCAAACAAAAAAGCTTCTTCTCAGCAAAAGCAACAATCAATGAGTTGAACAGAAAGCCTACAATTTGGGAGCAAACTTTTGCCACACACAGGTCACGTAGAGCACTAATCTCCAAGATATATAAAGAACTCAAAAAACTTACCAAAAAAACAACCAAAAAAAAACCCCAATCAATAAATGTGCTAAGGAGCTGAACAGACACTTCTCAGAAGAAGATATACAATAGATCAACAAATATATGAAAAAATGTTCAACATCTCTAGTCATTAGAGAAATGCAAATCAAAACTCTCCTAAGATTTCATCTCACCCCAGTCAGAATGGCAGTTAACAAAAATACAAGCAACAGTAAGTGTTGGTGAGGATTTAGGGGAAAAGGCATATTCATACATTGCTGATGGGACTGCAAATTGGTGAAACCACTCTGAAAAGCAGTATGGAAATTCCTTAGAAAACCTGGAATGGAACCACCATTTGACCCAGCTATCCCACTCCTCGGTCTATACTCCAAAGACTGAAAAACAGCATACTACATTAACAAAGCTACTTCCATGTTTATAGCAGCACAATTCACAATTGCTAAACTGTGGAAACAACTTAGATGCCCCTCAATAGATGAATGGATAAAGAAACTGTGGTACATATACACAAAGGAATATTACTCAGCATTAGAAGAGAATAAAATTATGGCATTTGCAGGTAAATGGATAGAGATGGAGAATATTATGCAAAGAGAAATAAGCCAATGCCCCCCTAAAAACAGGGGCCTAATGTTTTCTTTATTAAGTGAATGCTAATCCATAAGAGGGGAGAGGGTATGGGATGAGTGGAGGAAATTTAGATGGGGCAAAGGTGGGGAGTGGGTAAGAGGGTAAGAAAGATAGTGGAATAAAATGGACATCATTACCCTAGGTACATGTATGATTACATGAATGGTGTGCATCTATTTCAAGTACAACCAGAGAAGTGAAAAATTCTGCCCCATTTGTTACAATAAATTGAAGAGTTTTCTACTGATTAGAACTAATAAAAATAGACAAATAAATAAAGAGCTGGGAGTGTAGCTCAGTGTCTAGGTGCCCCTGAGTTTAATCCCCAATACCTAAATAAAAAGCAACAACAACAACAACAACAACAAAAAAAAAAACCCAAACATCTATCTGAACCACTCTTTCATCCAACAATTAATTATTATAATTCTATTATCTCCCACACACTCTGTCACAGCATTAGGTACATCCATTCACTCATGGAAGTTTGGTCATTTCTCCTTTGAAAATCATCCGTTTGTCCAACTCAACTGAATTCTTTACTAAGAGGTACTGAGAATCTTTCTTCCTTGAACCATGGCAACCTCAACACTCTGTTTGCATGCCATTCTTTCTGTAGTGATCACCTAGCACTTAGCACAGTACCTGGAACACAGAAGAAAGGGCTTCACTTTCAGGGACTGTAGACTTTCTGGGAAGGGAAATGAGGGAGCAGAAGCTATAAGACTTGTCTCCAAGAATATGAAGTACTGTGTTTTCCTTAAGCTGTAAAACCTATACACATAAAATCAGCCTGATTCTTTTATTCCAGAGGTATGGTTTTGGAATGCCGGAAAGATTGTTTTCTGATTTAAAAAAACAAAACTGTCCACTTTCTATCCCTTAAGTACTCAATAACCACTTGTTGAATATATCACCTTCCTTGACAGAGACCACGAATGTTGTATTCTCCATTGTATGCTCAGCCCTATAACATCTGGCCATAGTAAGGGTTCAATAAATATCTGTGGAGGATTCTGGAAAGGCAGGGGCCATAGATATTTTATTCTCCACAGCAGCAAGAACAAAGATGAAGGGCCTGAGGTTAAAAGAGATAGTACAGGATGTACCCCCTCCCCCATTCCCCCAGGACTTGGTACGTGTTTGCTAAGCGAAATAGATCGCTCTCCTCCACAACTCCAAAATCGGGCCCCTTGCTCCGTGGCCAGGCCCTGGAGCGCGGCCACCATCTGGCCCAGGCCCGTACTTCCCTCCCTCCCAGCCTGGGCTCCTGTTACCTCCCTGCACACATCTGTGCCCACCACAAGCCAAACAATTACGCGCTCCCGCGTCCCTGCCTCGAGGTCTGGATCGCAGCCGGGGCCTGGCCAGGACCTCCACCAAATTTACTCCCCGCCAAATTTCCGTGGACGTCCGCGGCCAGGATGGCCTAAGACCGCCGCCTGCCACTGGCTCTGGCAACCCCAGCACCAGGAGCGCCAGGACATAGTCCATGTGCTCGGCCGCCCGTCGCTCTCTAGCCATAGCCCACTCGGCTTTCAGCGCTGAGCTGGGAGGCCTGGCCACCCCGGCCCGGCCCCGCCGCGCTCCTCGAGGCCCGAGGCGGGGAAGGCGGGAAGCGGCTGCAGCTGTGAGGCGCCGAGCGGCGGGCAGCTGGGGCACAGAGGGCAGCAGGCCGGCCGAGGGTCCCGACGATGCGAGGCCCGAGCTGCGGCGATGCTCGGGCCACTACCGGGCTCGGCGAACAGCGGTTCGCACACTCACCACTGTCCGGCGGGGCAGCGCGCCAGAGGTCCGGGACAGGGCCCGGCGGAGTCGCCGCGCCCGGCCCGAGCGGGTTCCCCCGGAGCTCTCGGAGCCGCTGTCGTCCGAGATCACGATAAAGTCCTCCATTGCTACGGGCCCCCGGCCAAGCCAGAGCGCGAGCGGTCGGCGACCCAGGCGGCGGAGGCAGCGGCGACTTCGATTCCCGCTGCTGAAGCGACCGTGGCGGCGGCAACCCGGGATATCCCCCGCCTGCCCCGCCCCTTTCCGTCCCTAGTCCCGCCCTCGCTACACACGCCCCGCCCACTTCTCGGAGCCCCGCCCATCGGCGGGCGGCGGGAGACTGGGTCAGGGCCATGATCTTTGTGCTAGGCGGCAGCAGCCTTCCTCCCTTCTCTAGGAGAGAAAAAAAAAAAAGAAAAGAAAAGAAAACGAGTTGCAGCTGACTTGGGCTGGTGTTGGGGGCGGATGTGCTAGGTGCTGAGGCTGCGGGGCTGAGCCAGCTGCTTTCCTTTGAAAGTGCGAAGAGAGGTGTGATCAGCCCCTGCCCGGTGGAGGTGTGAACTTCCCTTTCTGAGAAGAGGGCTTAATTGACAGGGAGAGGGGTCCCTTGAAGGTGAGTGACCTGATCTCTGACTTACTAGACTCACTGACGGGGTAGAGTGTGCCCTGACTGACTGAAGGAGAGGCTGGCTTCCAACTGACGGGGTAGAGGGGCCCCCAACTGACAGTGGGTGACCCAGACTCTTACTGATTAATGAGGTTGACAGGTCCTGAGTGACTGAAGTGGGTAACCTAGTCTCTTACGGATTGATGGCTACAGGGGCCACCAACTGACTGAGGTAGTGGAGACAAACCCCATTTATTTGTGTACATGTGCAAATATACCTGTAGGATAAATTCCTAGAAATGAAATATTGGGTCAAAAGCAGTGTTTTTGTTGTTTTGGTAAATGATGCCAAATTATCCTGCTAAATGGTTCCAATTGTTGCAGTTTCACCAACATTACGTGTATCTCAGGAATTTAAACTATGAGATGTAGAGAGTTGTTCAATTGGTAGCTGGGTGAATAGCTTTAAAAAATACACACAAAAAAAGAATTCATGGGATGAGGCTCCAAAATTTGCATTTCTAGCAAGTTCCCAGGTGATCTGGTGACCACACTTTGAGAAACACTGGTCTGGTGGATAAGGATTTTAGGATCAATAGATTTCAGATATTCTGGTCAAATAGATGAAGGGTTCTGAAGGGATACATTAAGTTGACTTCACCTAATAATGCCATTAAACATTTAGATTATTGAACTCTACTTTTTGTATGAATGCTGGGGATTGAACCTAGGTCTCATGTGTGCTAAACTCACTCTCTACTACTGAGCTACACTGCAAATCTCAACTCCCTGCTGCCTGAAACACCCACTGTCTTCTCTAGATTACTGTGATTCTGCATTTCTCTTATCACTTCTTTGTAGTCTTTTTAGTTGACTCCAATTCTTCTATTCATCACCCCTTAAATCTTTGTATTCCTTAGAGTTCTGACATGGGCTCCCTTCAGACACTACCGTCTTATATAATCTCAAAAATTCCCATGGCTTTAATGACATTTTGATGGCAACAACCCCCCCCCATGTTTATCTCCAGCACAGACCTATCCTTAAACTATAATTGTATATATCTAGATGACTATTGATGTTCCTAGGCATCTCAAGTTGAATATGTCTGCAACTGAACTCGCCTCTAACCACCCCTTACTGCTCTCCTTCACTCTTCCCTGTCTCACTAAGTGGTGCTAACACCAACCAGCAATTGCTCAAGTAAGTATTGTGCTTCTTTTCTATCTTTCCTCATGAACAGTTCTTACCTGTTTTAGCTCCTAAATCTCTCTCTATTGCTCTCTCTCTCTCTCTTTCTCTCTCTCTC